CTTTACCTCTACGGCGTTCACCGATGGGCCACTGGCCACTATTAGCGTTTTTTTTATTCTCTCCTCTTTCTTGAGTAACCGAGTGCGGATTGTGTATTTTGTAAGAGAACGTTAATGAAATTCATATATAAAGATTAATCTCTTATATACATATAATGCTTGGTTAGGTTAGGTTAGGTTAGGATACGTTCTAATATGCGCCAATTGCGGAAATATATAATAATATTACCAAAAATAATAATATCTGTTACGGAATATGATTACGTATAAATTTTCTATGTTAATAGTGTATACCTTAACCTCTACGGCGTGTATCGACGTGCCACCACGTGCCACTAGCCAGCCATTTTTAGCGTTAGACGCTGAAATCTGCACATTTAGACATCTGCGCAAAGGTGCTGCGCGCGCGTTTGACGCTTGACGCACGACGCTCCCATGTAATAGCACCTTTACGCGAACTCTGGTCCGACGAGCTAGTCCGGTTCGCTCGAACAACCTAACGGAGAGTCGTTTCAAATATTATGATCTTATTCAAGGGAAAAAAGCTACCGGACAGCCTCGGCATTTTCAATAGTATGGCCCGAATCAGAGTGAGTCCATACGTGGAGACGGTAAGACAGTGCTACCAGTGTTACAAGTCACTTTAAGAGTAGCTGTAAGTTGAAGGAGAAGTGTATAATCTGCGGCCAGGATGAGCACGGGGAATGCCCATTATTGGAGAAATGCGTAAACTGTGGAGATAACCACAAATCTACATATAAAGGTTGCTCGGAATATAAAAGGAATAAAGACCTAATAACAATAATGGCCTATAACAATTGCTCACACTACGAAGCGGAGAAATTAGTACATGGAAAAGTGAACATATATACAACGCATTACGAGGGATACAGAAATGTGGAAAATTGGCCTACGATGCAGGACACATACGCTACAGTAACAAAAAGAGACAATACAGCGGGTAAACAAGAGGAAGATAGGAAAAAAACAGAAATCAGACCGAAGGAGATAAAACAGGGGGAAGCAGAAAGAAATATGAGACCAGGAATGACAGTGTTGAAGAGAAGTACGGCGCCAGCTACGAAGGGAAGAGAGAGAGAGGAAGAAAGTCACTATTACAAGATGTTCAACACAAGAGAGGAAGAGATCACGAAGGATAAATGGGGAATAATGAACAAAGTAAGAAGAGAGGATACTACAGAAGAAGAAGAGGCAAGTGAACGGTCACGGAAAACGGATAGGGATACAATGGAAAGACGGATAGAAAAGGAGAAAATGGATAGAGAAGAAAGTATACACAAGAGGGAAAGAATGGTACAGAGAGCAGACAAAACAAAATGGATGACGAATAACGTAAGGAGGTTGAGATATATGACTGAGTATACACAGAGAGACATAAAAAAAATATACAGACCTATAAACATTAGCAACAACAAAATGATAAATATAGTCATATGGAACGCAAGAGGCATGGGTAACAAGAAGGAAGAAATAGCGAAGAGAGTCAGGGAATACGATATATTTGCCATTACAGAGAGCAAAGTTACTGAAGATAAAAAGATAGAATACAGCGGATATAACACGATGAAGGTCAACAGCGACGGATTAAGCAGCGGTATACTCATATATATAAAAAACACGATCAAATACAAGGAGCTACAAGGATGGAAGGACATCAATAAGAACTTCGATATAGTGGGTATAAGTACTACCAACTTAAAGAATAACTTTGACGTAGTCGTCGTCTATAGAAGACCGATAGGAATGAATAAGAAGAAAGAATGGGAAAATTTAATGAAATATAAGAAGGAGCAGAAAAACGTAATCATGATGGGGGACTTCAATGCACATCACACAGCTTGGAATTGCAGGAATACAGATGCAAATGGATCAATGCTCTACATGGTGATGTACAATGATATGTGTCAATAAAGACACATCATCTAGGCTCAACCATTTGAATGAGCAAACATCAAACATAAATCTAATATTCGCGAACCCGGAAATGTGCGATGTACTGGATTACAATCAGGAGGAAGATACATGGGATTCAGACCATCATCCAATAAATATAAGAATTCAAACGGAGAAAAGCAGCTATAGCAAGAAGAGTAACAGACAGAGTAGTAAAAGAACGGATTGGAACACGTACAAGGAGAAGATGAAAGAATTTATGAAAGAAGAGAGTGAAAATATAGGATATGAATCATTGACGAACAAAATGAAGAGAGCTGTAAATTTAGCATCTGGAAGAAAAGAAGATCAAGAGAAAAAGGTGAACAAGGCTAAGCACAACCCAGTAAGGTGGTGGAACGATGAGTGTAACAAAGCTATAGATCAGAGGAAGGCTGCATTGAAAATGTATAGGAAAGAACAAAGTGAAGAAGCATACGTGGAATACAAGAGATGTCGGGCAGTAGCAAGGAGGACAATAAAAAACAGGAAGAGGGAAGGTTTCCAAGAGTTTTGCAACTCTATAAACATATGGACCAGCATGAAATATGTATGGAACACGATGAGGACTCTGAAGAATAGATTTGCAAAAGTAGACTGGAACAAGTGGCACACGAAAGATAGAAAGGAGACGATCAGAAAGGAAATAGAAAAATTAGCACCATCGACAGTTTATAAGAAGATAGAGGTGATAGACACGAAGAGAGAAAAAAAAGATTTACTGGATGATGATCTGAAGTGGTAGGAACTAACAAGGGCATTTAACATGGTCAAAAGGAACTCAGCACCAGGAAAAGATGGTATAGAATATAAAATGATAAAGGAATTGCCACAGAGTGCCAAAGAAGCACTATTAAATATACACAACCATATATGGAGGACAACAGAATTACCAAAAGCTTGGAAAGAATATCAAGTATGCTTCATAGATAAACCGGGAGGAGAAAAAGTAAGGCCAATAGCACTGTCCTCAAGTGTGGCCAAGATATATGAAAGAATAATAAATGAGAGACTTGTATGGTGGGCGGAACATCACGACATCATAGATTCGACGCAAAACGGCTTCAGGAGAGGACGATCGTGCCACAATAACCTGGTGAAACTATTGGCAGATGTAAGGAGCACTATGTACAGAGGAGGGTACACTATGGCTGCTTTCTTGGACGTGGCTTCGGCATACGATAATGTAGTCCCAGAGATCCTCGTAGAGAAGCTTGAGAAGAGAGGATGCCCAAATAGAATCACAAAGTTTATCGCGGAATGGCTTGCTGAAAGAGAAACAGAGTTCTTAGTATCGGAAGAGGAAACAGTAACAAAATCTATCAGAAAAGGACTACCGCAAGGTGCAGTACTAAGTCCCGTATTGTATGACATATATACTAACGAAGTCACTACGGACTTACCAGATGAAGTGAGAATCCTGCAGTTCGCTGACGATATAGCGGTATACACAGCTGGACCTGTCCGGAACGAACACAAGGACAAAATGAAAGAGGCCATATGCATAATAGATAATAATGTAGGAGAATTAGGACTTAACATGCAACATGAGAAAACCAAGCTAATCGAATTCAGGATATACGGACTCAAATATGAATATCACAATAGGCAGGACCACAATAGAAAACTTACCGGAAACCAAGTTCTTGGGTGTTAACTTCGATAATAAGACGAGTATGGAAAGACATGTAGTAACAATGCGAGGCAGAATGGAAAAGGCAAACGATGTTATCAAGTATGTTTGCTCGGTCACCAGAGGCCCGGAAATAAATACCGCTCTTACCTTGTACAAAAGCATGGTCAGAGCAGTGGCGGATTATGGCCTGTACGTATATTACCCTAGGACACATAATTACAGCTTAAAAATAGAAAGAGGTCAATACCTTGGTATTAGAGCTGCAATGGGGTACAGGAACAGTACACCTACTAATGTAATGATTGCTGAGGCACGGGTACCGATGTTGAAACATAGAGCCATAAGACTCGCGGAGAACTTCTGCATTAAACTGCTGAAATATGGAAGGAAGGAAGAACAGGAGAGCTTAGATAGGTTAATGGAGTCGGAGCAGGAAAGAAGAAGGAAAAACCCGGGATTTACGCATAGCGTTCTTACTAAGGCATGGAGCGAGGTAAGAAGAATTGGAGAAAAACTGATAAGAGAGAGAAAATATGAAATATGGAAGGAGGAATATGAGGATTTAACAAATATGATACAGACAGATACAGAAATAGAGAAAGAGTACGGAGGAGAGAAAAATAATAAACAAGAAATCACGATGGATATAAATAATATGAAATACCAGGAACGAGACTATAACCTGATCAAAAGATGTATGGATGAACTGGACATGAAGGAAAGACCGCTTGTCATATACTCGGACGGCTCAAGAACGGAAGAGGGAGCATCAACGGGATCCAGCTTCGTGTGTGACGAATGGGACGAGGCATACAAGGCGTCGCTCCCTAAGGAATGCTCATCGTTTACGGCGGAGGCATTTGCAATCCACATGGCGACGTTAAAGATACTTGAAGCAGCAAAGAAAGGACTGCAAACAAAAAAGGAAGTATTGATACTATCAGATAGCAAGGCGGCAATCAAGGCACTAGAAAATAACAAACTCACAGTATACAAAAATAGATATATGTTGACGGCAAGAAGGAATATCAACAAGCTGTGGAAAGAATACAAGATTGGTACGTACCTGGTATGGATTCCGGCACACAGAGGACTGACGGGGAACGAGATGGCGGATATACTTGCAAAAGAGGCGACGGACGAAGAACCGAGTGAATTGGAGGTCCCTTTTACGGATCTATACATGGAAAATAAGGCAAGAGAATGGAAAAGCACATGTGAAGTGATAGAAGGAGAGGCAAGGCACAAAGGAAAGTACTGCTTTAAATACTTTCACAAAAAGGAAAGAACGAATAGATGGTACAAGGGACATAACACGGAAAGGTACTACGGGACTTTAATGAACAGACTGAGAGCCAACCACTACAACCTGAAATGCTCACTTGCGAGAAAGGGATATATCGACACGGAGCAGTGGGAACGGAGACTGCGGAGGGGGAACGGAGAACCTTGATCACGTGGTATGGGCATGCACGCAATACAAACCAAAGGGAATGGCTGGCACAAGAAAACTGGATAGCAGAAAACTCAGAAACGCGGATTCATTTTAAAAAAACCGTCAGCCGGCATTAACGCTCAGCTGACCGTCCCGCGTAAGCCGCCGGGTGCCGCGGCGGTGCGCCGCTCCTGTCTGCCTCTTGTACTCGGCCAGTTATTCGCTGACTATTTCTTTTAATAATTCAAAAACTAAGCTTCGGAGAACATTTTGGTAAGAGAAAATCGTCTTAGAATTTAATCAGGAATACGACATTTCAGGGACACTATACCTATTTTGAATCACCCTGTATATTAGAATGAACTGTAATTGAAATGAAACTGTTCATTATAATATATATAATCGTAGCAATTTTTCAAATTACATTACCTTCAAGAATGTAAAGCTCGTATTACATATAAAAAGTATATAAATGTAATATATTATGCAATATAAATATTGCAGAATTGTAATTGTGAAAAATATGTAGGTATTTCAGATTAATCATTCCACTCCTTGCCATTAATATAGAAATAAATTATATTGAAGCAGTTAGTATGGAATATATTCGACTGATAAAATTACTTACACATTTCGATAACACCTCATTATTATAAATGAAGGCAGGCGATGTTACTTAAAAAAAGTTTGTCATAGGAATTAAAGAATATTTTTATTTTTATATTTGGCATATTTCTATTCTTTCCATATTTCTATATAATATTTATGTATATATAAAATTTATATTATGGTCTTGGTTATGTATCTGAAAAAGAAAAAAGAACAATTAGACAAAATAAAATTATACATTTTAAAAAAGGTACAAACAAAAGGTTGCTTTATATTATTATTACTCTGAACTGGAACGGCATGCTTTTCAATCTTTTTCTTTTTTACGTCCGATGGGCTCTGTGAACTCACTGAAACTGTTGTTGTTGCTTTCTTTCTAAAATAGAGAACATAAAAAGTTTTATCAATTACATCATATTAGAAATAAATGACTACACCATTTCTGGCAATGCAATTATAAAATAATAGCTTTTTTAGGGCTTTCAGGCTTTCGCGGCTGTT